ATATACCTGACTACGGGCTTCTAGCAATTTCTACTTTGTAGAGCAATCGTATATCTCTGATAACTTAAAAATTAAAATTCATACTATGAATGTATTCTTTTTTAAATTTTATAAGAATATAATTATGTCACTAAATAGGAAAGACAAAGGGTATCTTATCTAACCTAACATTTCAATTTTAAACTACCTAACCTAACTTTTATTTTAATATATTTATAGGGAAACGCTCCTATCTTGACCTTTAATAAGTGGAATATGTAATAGTTCATTATTGATGAAACAGCAATAAGATCTTAAACAATCATTTTATTTGCATTATTTATTACGGCCTGTTACTGCTGTCACTTTCAGTGCAATGCAACTACTTCTGTTACGCTAAAAGACCAGTACACACGTTGTGTACAGACAAATACTTCGATCATCGGGATGGCATGCATTTCAAACCCTGCTATACTTTTAGGCCAAGCACCCAGATCACGTGACAACACTATATTTATACACCTCAGCAAACCGTATACGACACCCAGAGCTAACGAAAGTTCAAGGATACACACTGGGATCCTGGAGCTGTTATTGCCTTGTAGTGCACGTAACCGGGTTACACATGGTTATAAATGGAGCCTGGGGCAGGAAACCGTACGTGCAAGAACTTGTAATACCCAGGACACCATGGTGCCCAGTGAAGACAAGGATATAAATTTCGATTAGTTTTATTAGATTAGCATACCTGTAGAAACAAACGATCTATTCCAAGCTGGCACATTAATTAGTAGATTTTACTAGTGTCTGTGCATGACCGAGTAAACAGCTATATTTGTTTACACAGCATGTGGATAGATATAAATGTAGAGCACATAAGTGACATCTAATGCAAAATATAGGCTGTGGTATCATAAGACACCATGCTTTTTATGATGAGCAGGAATATATATGAGCTCCCGCAACTGTTGCTGCGGTGATATTAGGATGACTCCTATTACAGTACTGCTCAGCAACACACCCCTGGGCAAAAGATTTATGCAGTATAAAATATGACTGCTTATTACCAAATTACTTCAAAATGCCTGTTGGCAGTACTTCTAAAATTTATATATAATAATATGAACAGACCTGTTTAATTGGACTGTGGAAATTTTAGAAGTACTGCCAACAGGCATTTTGAAGTAATTTGGTAATAAGCAGTCATATTTTATACTGCATATATATATAAAAAACATATATGTCCTTGAAATGTTCTTGAAAAGTCCTTGAAAAATATATTCATACTTGTGGGAACACTGTAAAAGAAAGCATTTGTATACTGTTGAAAAATACAAATGCTTTCTTTTACAGTGTTCCCACAAGTATGAATATATTTTTCAAGGACTTTTCAAGAACATTTCAAGGACATATATATGTTTTTTTCAAGGACAATCAGTGACATGTAGTTTTAGCTTTTTAGAGTCATCATTATACCATAGATTCATATATAAAGTAAAAATAATTGTTTCACACCCTAGTTCAATGTGAGCACTACTTTAATTAATTCTCTATAAATGTCTTGCTATTACATAGTATTTGTTAAGCTGGTAAAATTAAAGATCTTCTTCAGCCTCCAACCCACAGAAGAAACAATCAAGGGCCATACATGTTCTCCTTGTCCAAAATCTTTACATATTATAACAAACAAATAATATTAAAGGAATACTTTACTCTAGAATTTGAGAGTATATTTTGATAGTAGATTTATAAATAATAGCACATGCCACATACCTATAAATATCTATAATTACTATAACTATAATACTTTTTATGTAGCGTAATTTTAACCTAAATTAACTGAAAATAACCCTAGACCCTAGAGTAAACGATACCTTTAACTATATGCTGACTATTATAACCATTTTTTATTTATTACTCAGTGTATATGTTCCTACACACAAAATACACACAAATTAACACAATTGTGCAGCAAAATAACATGAACACTAAGTAATACATCAACGCGATAATAATTATTAAAATGATGAACTTATATTCTAGAGCTAGACCCCTCCCCTACACCACCCGCACGTAAAAATCAGGGACAAAACATAGACTACTTTTGTAGAGTAGGCAATGGCCTGTGAATTTTGGATTAGATTGGAGTAGATTGGATTATTTTGGAGTAGGCAATGGCCTGTGAATTGGATTGCCTTCATTTCTTTTTTTTATCTTATTTGAAGACTTGGAATAGGGTCAGTCAGATAACCAGCAATGAAGGTTTGCTTTTTATTTTAGGTCAAAAATGCAAAATTCCAGGACATTCGATATAAAATCCTATTCCAAGGACTATCAATGACAAAATGAAAACTTATGGAGTTTCAAGGACAAAGGACAAACTTCAAGGGCTGTGGGAACCCTGTGTTCAGAAAAGAATCAGGCACACTCTGAGAAACAAGTGCTCAGCTACTTTTTCAATACTTACCAGTTTTCATATTTCTTCAGTTTCTTGACCATGCCAGCTTTTGTCATGATGTCTATGATGTGTTCATTCTCTGCATCACTGCCATCAACGATGTGTATGTTGTCTGGCTTACACAAACTGAAATCAAACAGCAACACAATGTTACGTGCTCTCGACATGTCACCGTGCTCAGCAGCATAGTTATAATTTAGAGGTGCCTTTTGCTTGAATATATTATTGAAAAAGCTCATGCATCGAAAGATACAATAAGGGACTTATACACTAAGGATTTAGGAAAAACAGGGATCTTATGGAGTGGAGAAAATTCAGAAAATATGATTAGGAAGCTTTTAGATGCAAAGAGAACATGATCAAATTAATTATAGTCAATAAAACAGATCAGCATCGCTGCACGTGTATGCCAAGTATGTTACAACCATAGGGCACACTATATAGCTGTATCAGTGTGGCCCCTGCGCTCCTGCTACAGCTACCTATAGCAGGAGTGAAGGGGCTTTGCTGGTAGAGCTAAGAGAATACAGGAAAAATCACACTCCGTCTCTAATTGCAATACACTTGGAATTAGCCCATGGTTCGTACAGAAGGACTGAAATTTTTCCCAAGGACTTTTCAAGGACTTTTCAAGGACATTTTATCAGAAATTCAAGGACATTTTATCAGAAATTCAAGGACATTTTATCAGAAATTCAAGGACATTTTATCAGACATTTTATCGGAATTCATACACAGAACAAAACATACCTGGATTAATTTAATAACCCCATTCTTAATCACTGCATGTCACCTCTAAAACTT